GGCTGCGGCGAATACAAAACATCCTCCGGCGCTACACTCATATACTCTGGAAAGGCCACAGGCGAAAAAAGAGAAAGTGGAGTAGGCTTTCTATTATCCAAAGAAGCTAAACAAGCGCTCATAGAATGGCAACCACATGGCGACCGAATAATTCTGGCAAAATTTAAAACTCGAGCCAGAACCCTCACATGCATACAGTGTTACGCGCCTACTGAAGTCACCGACCCACAAATCAAGGAAAATTTTTATGACTCCCTATACTCTGTTTTAAATAAATGCCCTAGAGGTGAAATAAAGCTCGTCATGGGAGATTTCAACGCACAAATCGGGCCAGATAACAATGGAAGAAAGCAAGTGATGGGGAAACATGCTCTCGGCACAATGAACGATAATGGGGAGCGTTTCTATGAATTATGTAACACCATGGGCCTCACCATAGGAGGTAGTCTCTTCCCGCACAAACATTTGCATAAAGTCACTTGGGTTTCCCCAGATAATGCAACAGAAAATCAAATCGACCACATTGCCATCAGCAAAATGTGGAGACATTCATTATGTGATGTCAGAAATAAAAGAAGTGCAGACATGGCTTCTGACCACCATCTACTAATCGGTGAAATACAACTCAAATTAAATGCGGTCTTTAGAAAGCCACAATTCAAAAGGAAACGGTTCGACCTCGCCAAACTTGACAACCCTACTGTTCAAAATAACTATCAATCTCGGCCCAAATCCCTAATCCCTTGCCACTAGAAGAAGAAATCTTTGAAGCCGAAACTTATTGGGAACAAGCAAAATGTGCTTTCACTGAAGCAGCACAACTAAATGTCGGTATTCCTCAACGTCAAAATAATCCGTGGATCACCGAACATACATGGAATCTTATAAAAGCGCGCAAAGGAGAAAAAGAAAAGGTTAACAGGGCAAGAACGCGCCAAACAAAGCAGCAGGCACAAGCCAACTACAGTATTGCCAACCGCAAAGTTAAACGCAGCGCTAGAGCCGATAAGCGCAGATGGCTCGACAATTTAGCAACAGAAGCCCAAAAAGCAAGCGAATCACATAGGCTCAAAGACCTACACAACATCACTAAAGCTATGGTGGGACGTAAACACAGGATTGCAAAGCCAATAAAAAATACCAGAGGCGAACTAGTACACTCTACCGAAGATCAGCTAATAGTTTGGGAAGATCACTACAGAAATCTCCTAGCGGGAAACAACACCTATCCTCAGCAGGAACTATGTAGTAGACACCACGAACATGTTGCTCGCAACGATATAAACACAGATGTACCTAACATCAGTGAAATTGAGGCAGCAATAACTCAGCTTAAAGCAGGTAAGTCCGCTGGTCCGGACAATATTGCCCCCGAACTGCTCAAAGCAGACAAAATTTCAGCTGCTCAAATTACTCAACCAATTGTCAACAACTTCTGGTCCCAAGAGTCATTACCGCCTAATCTTAAAGACGGCATCATTATTAATATACCAAAGAAAGGTAACCTGATGGAATGCTCCAACTGGAGAGGCATAACTTTACTAAATGTAGCTTATAGAGTTATTGCTCAAATCTTACATAAACGTTTAACTTCGGCCGCTGAGCCTACACTACGAGCCGAGCAAGCAGGATTTAGGTATAATCGATCATGTGCCGACCACATAAACAGCCTTCGAATAATAGTCGAACAGTCTAGCGAATGGCGATCTCCCCTATACTTGCTGTTTATCGACATTAAACGTGCATTCGATACACTTCTCCATACCACCATCTGGTATGCATTAGAGTGTAAAGGTATACCGAGTAAATTAATAAATTTAGTAAAAGGCTTGTACTCTGACGCGCACTGCTCAGTACTTCACGAAGGGCGTCTCAGCGGTCAAATCCAAATTAAGTCTGGCGTCCGACAAGGTTGCATTCTTTCACCTATACTATTTAATATAGTCTTAGATGTGGTTATGTCGGAAGCTATGAGTACAAATCATGGCATATCATTCGGCCTTCATAACAAACTTACTGACCTCGATTACGCTGATGACATTACTAACGCATAACTTTTCCCAGATGCAAATATCGTTAAACAACATCGCAAAGCGTGCACTGGCAGCTGGTATGTCAATCAATATCATCAAAACCAAGTCTATGCGTCTCAATTCAAACTGCTTAACGAAGTTTCAACTAGATGAACTAGAGAAGATCGAAGATGTACAAAGTTTCTGCTATCTGGGAAGCTACATTTCGAACAACGGCGGCAGTCGGCAAGACATACAGTACAGGCTATCGAAAGCGAAGCAAGCGTTTGGAACCCTTAACAAAATCTGGCGTTCATCCAACATCACACAACGCACTAAGATACACCTGTACAATGCAAACGTAAAATCAACTTTACTATATGGTAGTGAGAGTTGGAACCTAACGGCAAGAGACGCACAACAGCTACAAGCCTTTGTCAATCGTTGTCTACGACGCATCCTTCATGTATTCTGGCCAGCAATCATAACCAATAATGAGCTCTGGTTTAGAACGAATCAGCCTCTTACAACTGATGAAATAATGATGCGCAAATACAAATGGCTTGGCCACACGTTAAGAAAACCCGCTGATGATATCGCAAGAAATGTCTTAGATTTCAACCCTCAAGGCAGTAGAAGACCAGGGCGTCCGCGCAACACTTGGAAACGACAAACTGAAGCAGAATTAAGAAATGCTGGAAAGAGCTGGAGTGAAACAAAACGTCTTGCATTAGATAGAGTTCAATGGAAACTATTTGTTACGGCCCTCTGTTCCACCTAGGAATAAAAGGATTAAATAATAAT